GGTACCTGGGGGGCCGTCGGGCCGGGGGGCCAGGGGGGACGTCGGTCCGGCCCCCCCCGCCCGGCCCTCTCCCCGCGTGGCGGCGTCCAGCCAATCAGCGCGGGGCGTCCGTAGTCCTGGCAACAGTGGCGTCCAAGCCTGCAAGTCGCACGTCTCTTGCAAACTTGGTGTCACTGTTTTTCTGGGACACCCCCCGCCCCGCCTGCGCGCGCGCAAGCACGCACACACAGACACACACATCCACGCACGCCCCCCGGCGCCGCGACCATGGACGACTCCTGTGAAGAGTACGAGGATCAGAACCAGTCGCTGCTCGGTAAGCTCCCGGGAATCAACGCCGCCTACAGGAAGCTCTCACCCCTGGGTGGACGCGTGCAAGTGGGGTGAGGGCTAGGACGGTACCTCATTGTGCCGTCCCTTCTCTGGGTGCGCGGTTGCCAGGCAGTCGGCGGCAGGTCGTGCGTGTTTCCCAGACTTCCGTGCCTCGGCTGGAGGAGCGGTCCGGAACCAGAGGCCCAACCCGTGCGCCCGGGAAAGGTGTCCAGGCCCTCCAGCTGGCCCTCATTCTCCGCTGGACGTTAGTGTGTTCGGTACTGGAGAAGAGGCATGGAGAAGACCGTCAGTCTTCCTAAAACTTTTGGCGATAGCCTGCTGAGGAACACGTCCTTGCCAAACACTGCAGCTTCAGAGGTGAAGGACAGATAAACGGATAATTACAGAGGAAGAAGGGGTGAATCTTGAGTCCAAGAGTGACATCCAGGAGTAAGAGATCTGCTAAGTGCAGAGGATGGGGAGGAACAGTTCCCAGGTCCTGGACGAGATCTTTACACTGGGGCTTAAGTTTAGGATACAAGGAATTCTCCAAGGAAAAAAGGGAGGAAAGGCATTCCAGGCCAAGGGAACAGCATGCATAGAGGCCCAGAGACATGGTATCTTCGGGAAACTGCTGGTAGTTTGAGTGTTGCTGGAGATGACAGGCAAGAGGGATCAGAAGGGACAAGATCACAAGAGATCTTGTGAGCCAGGAGATGGAGAAGCCTTTGGGAATGACAGGAGTGGACTGGGAGCGTCAGCAATGCAGAGACTGAATTGGCAGACCCAGAATGCTGGGAGTAGGGAGATGAGATAGATCTGCAGCTGTCCCAAATGCCCACGCCAAAGATCTGGGAGGTGAGGGAAAGGCGCCAGGCTAGAGGGGACTACATGGACTTGGGGGCTGATTGGATGGGGAACTCAGAAAGAGCAATCAAGGATGATGCCCAGGTTGGTATCCAGGGGGACCTGGGAGATGGAGGCGCCTTCCACAGAGATAAGGAACCGACCGGGAAGAGCAGGATAGGTGGGACAGGGACATGGAGACAAGTTGAGCCTTGGTTGTGTTTGAGATCCCTGCAGGCCATACAAGTGGAGATACTTTAGGAGCAACTGTATGTAGAGAGTTGGAGCTAATTCCAAGTCATAAATATCAGTATGGGTGTCCTCTGCATATAGACAGCCAAACATGAGAGTGGAGGCTGGAAAAAATCAAGAGAGCTCAAGTTTAAGCCTGGAAGCCACCAACTTTTGAAGGGTGGGTAGGAAAAGAGAGGCCCAAGAACAGGGGGCCAGAGAGGTAGGATGGAACTTACAGAGAGATTTGAATCAGAGCCAAGAGAAAATGAGAGAATTTCAAGAAAGAGTTGAATTGTCTCCAGACACCTGAAGGGATGTCCCAGAAAAGAGGCATCTGTTTTCTGGGGCATCAGTGGGGAGGACTTGGACCAGGGAGTAGAAATCTCAGAGAGACAAATTCTTGGTCAATATAAGGAAGTCTTTTCTAGCGGTCAGAATTAGACATCCACAGTGTTACGCAGAGAGCACCCTGTCACCGGAGGTATACAAACAGACACGAAGTCTTCAGGGGCAGAGTAGAAACAGTTCCCTGCCCTGGGCGGGCAACGGGACTAGTTGGCCTCTGAGAGCTTTCCTCACCAATCCTGCAGGAACATTTTCACACGGTCTCCCCACAACCACGCGGTGACCTCTTTATTATAAGAGCCCACCCCACTTTCCTATCAATGGACACAGCACCCCAAAGTCCACTAGGATGCAAGCTCCATGGTGTGGTGGGCACACAGCCTTTGAGAGGGAGGCCAGGGTGACTTTGCGGGGGTGACACCAGGCTGAGAACTGTATGACGAGGAGGACTCAGCCAGGGGGAAATCTTCGGGACTCCCATGCCAGAACCAATAACCAGGACAGAGCTAGGAGAGCTGGACACACTGGAGGGAGGCTAGTGCAGCTGGAGCAAAGCGAGCAAGGGGAGGAGGGAGAGTGGGAGGAGGTTAGGGAGGGGAGAGGGGCCGGGCCTGGGGAGGGTGGCTTTGTAAGCCAATGTGAAAGAGGGTTGTTTAT